TAATGCCGAACGCTGCCGCCACTTCAGCGGCAGAGTACGCGCGTGTAGCCAACGCCTCGTTCGGACGATCCTCCTCGTCACATGAGCTGTTAGCCTGGACATTGCAGTCCACTTCTACAAAGTCATCCACGGACACTTCGTGTGAAACTGCTGCCAGGAAACAGGACCACAACGCGCGAAACGCATTATCTATGCGCTCGTTGTCGTCGGTTTCACCAGTTTTCGCAAGTTCCGCCGTCTCGAATCCTCCCTTGCGGAAGCAGTTGACCACTGTGTCCGTCTTCACGCCTCACCAGGCATTGAAGATCTCCGCAGAGATTTCCGGCCACCTCTTCGTCATCCACTGCTGGGTGTCCTGGCTGCTTACAGCTTTGTTTTCGCCAAAGTTGGTTTTGCCAACCATGTTGTAGCGCTGCTTAAATCGGTGAAGCCACCCGCTGTAGTCGGCAAAGTTGTTTCACGGAGTGTAGCGACAAACCATTTGGCCTTGGTGATCAGCATCGGGCCATCCTCCAGAATGTTCATCATGCATGCTTCTAAAAACCAGGCCTAGAGTGTAGTTTCTACAATCCCGTGGGCAGAAGCGCGCACATGACAGGCTCCTGACGTTCACTGCTCCGCCGCCTTTGCCTTGCTATCTGCCTTGTTTTTCAACGAGGTACTCGGAGTGCTCCGTATCCCGAAGTCGTCCGCGACGGTCGAACATTTCTTGCCCGCCTAAACACGCTAAATATCCTTAAACTTGGTCGCACAGTCAAGTGTCTTGCACTTCTTGATGCTGGCCATAGCTACACGAAAAGTAAACAATTCAAGAAACCCGCAGCGGCTTTGCACAACGCGCACACAAAAGAGAAATGCTGCACATGCGGTGGTGCATAGGCGACATGACAACGCAATCCAACAAAGCGTTATAGCTAGGAGATGGCCAGCTACAAGGGCAACAAGAAAAGGCGCGAGCTGTGGTTGGCTGAACGGCAACAAAAAATAAAAGGCGAAAGGAGAAGGACGGCGGCTCCTTCGGGCCTGCTCTCTGAGCCAACCAGGTACGCGAAATAAGCATGAGAGAGAACGAGAAACGAAAAAAAAAAAAAATGTTTCGCAAGCTAGAGATCGTGCAGTCCGAGCCCTCTTGTGCTTATCTTTTTTCAAGCGTTTCAGGTTTTCGCGGAGATGTGTGCGTGTGCGTGTGTGTGTGTGTGTACATACTCCGTGAGAATACGAGTGGCAGCATTTATTTCGACAGTTAAGGCCAGAGTCTGACCTTCGAAAACTGTTGAAATAAATGCTTTGTTAGTGTTCTCACGGAGGACCTACATTACCATTTGTAACACTACACCCACTTTTGCCACCATATCAATATATATATATATATATATATATATATATATATATATATATATAAATATATATAAAAGGGAAAGAAGTGTATACCTAAGGGCTAGTTTTTCCATGTTTTGACACAATATTAATGAGATCTAACAGACAGTAATGCCAAGGAATGTACAGGGGAAGTTATTAGAACCAATGGAATGTAAATAAGAAAAAAGAAAAGTGCGTGAAAAAATAACTAGCTCACAGCTGGTTATTCTTTCACCCACTTTTCTTTCTCCTTATTTACATTCCATTGGTTCTAATAACTTCCCCTGTACATTCCTTGGCATTACTGTCTGTTAGATCTCATATATATGTAACGGATGAGACATGGCGTCAGTCAGAACACCAGTTTATTCTGACCCTTCGTCTTCCTCCTCTTTCTTCCCCACATTCACTTGTGAAGCGTCACACGTTTCCCCCTCCCCCCGAGAGAGCGTCAACTTATTGGGACAATAGTAGCGATGCAGTTTGTTGACGTGCACAATATCAGTAGTTCTGCTTAACGGAGCTACACATCGGTCGATCTCATAGTTCACAGGAGAGACTCTGCGAAGAATTGTGTAAGGTCCTTCCATGACTGAACTGAGCTTTCCTTTGTTCGGGTGCCAAGGTGTTTCGTAGAGGACCAATTCACCAGGTTGGAGATCTTGTGGTAGGAATTTTTGTCGTAGATTATCTTGTTCTTCTCATGATAGGCAAGCGTGTTCTTGATTGCACTTTTCCTTGCTTCTTGCACACTCTCCATTGGTGCGTCTAAAATTGTGTCGTATGAAGGAATTCCATACATTAGGTACGATGGTGGATATCGTGTTACTTCATGTGGGGTACTGTTGTATTCATCGACAACATCCGAAAGATGTTTGACCCAAGACTTCTGTGGCTGCTCATTCATTTTGCACTTTAGCCGGGTTACAATAGTCTGATTTGTACGTTCGTTCATGCCATTACATTGAGGGTGTTGGGAGGATGTGAACAATTGGTGGACACCATTGCGTTTTAGAAACTGCTTGAATTTTCCAGCTGTGAAAGCTGGTCCACGATCAGATAGGAACTTCTTGGGTTTTCCTGCTGCAAAGATGGCGGTGATGCACGAAATGTATGCGTCACAAGTTTCGTTCTTGTGGGGAAACGCCCAGACATACCGCGTAGCGTGGTCGATGAGCCTTTGGGCCGCCCTCTTCGTTTCTCTGGTTGTCAGTTAGAGCAAACACCATTTCACGACGAGGGCACTCATTGTGCCAGTGAAACTGACTCGGCAAACCAGCAGATGCACAATGTCGGCACTCACTGTGAGGGGTGCGCATCAATCTTGTAGGGAGCCATGGTCGCGTAGAATGAGGCTCTCGACGCATGAGCTGCCGTTTTGACGAGTGTTGGGAAGCATCTCTGTGGACAGAGTCTTCCGCTTGAAGCGCAGCAGTAAGCCACTTGGCTGGGGTGGTGAGCGTCAATCCAGCGAGGCGCCTTTCGATCTCTTCAGGTACACCATCAGTCAATCCAGATACTATGTGAACGTCTTTTAAGTCTGCGAGGCGACCAAGGTGTGTCTTCTCTTCGTAGTAGTGCCTGATGCGCTGTTCTCTTTTGAGCCTGCAGTATATGAATTGGCGGAAAGGCTCGCTAACAGGTGTAGAAAATCGTGATATCATGCTTGTTTTGATGCCTTCCCACGTATCTTCTGCGTCGAAAATCTCGGTGAGGTACCAGCGGAATGCCTCACCTTCCAGGTACTCGCTGATGCAGTCGATGCGATCTCGTTCGGACCAGCTGACGTTGCTCGCCTTCGTTTCGAAGAGGTGCAACCACTTGTCAACAGGGACGTCGTCTTCAGCTCCGGTGTATTTCGGCAGGCTGATCATCTTCTTTGGTGGGCTCATGATGTTGCTGCGGTAGATCCTGCCGACTTAGTGTAACGGATGAGACATGGTGTCAGTCAGAACACCAGTTTATTCTGACCCTTCGTCTTCCTCCTCTTTCTTCCCCACATTCACTTGTGAAGCGTCATATATATATATATATATATATATATATATATATATATATAAAAGTTATCTTTTCACTCACTTTGTTTTTTCAAATTTACCTTACAATTCAGTCTAATAACCTCCCCTATACTTTCCTTGGCAGTATTGTCTGTTAGATTTCATTAATATTGTGTCAAAACACGGAAAAACGAGCCCTTAAGTATACACTTCTTTCCCTTATTCATTAACGAGGGTCTCGTACTGGCAGACTTGGTGCCTTAGGTAGTATACGAGTGACTATTGGTCAGCTGCCAGTTTGTAATAAGTTCACGTGCTACGTGAAGCCACAGGCTCATAAAAAGAGTGTGCCACACTTGCCGCCATGGTTACAGATGGCGCTGACTGACACTCCCACGTTTAAATTCACATATATACCCGATAAAGTGGTTGGGAGGATAGCCGCTGTGGTAGCTCAGTGGTAGAGCATCGAACACGTTATTCGAAGGTCGCAGGTTCGGTTCCTGCCCACGGCAAGTTATCTTTTCACCCACTTTTCTTCCTTCACATTTACCTTACAATTCGGTCTAATAACCTCCCCTATACACTCCTTGGCATTAATTATTGTGTGTTAGATTTCATTAATATTGTGTCAAAACACAGAAAAACTAGCCCTTAAATATACACTTCTTTCACACACACACGCACGCACACACGCACATATTGTGTAGATTAGTTGGGCGATGACAAATATGCTCATTTTTCTTTATAATATGTGATATATGCTATTTAAGCTATTCAATTTAGACCCAAATTTCATTACTGACATACCATGAACACACATCAGTTGTGCAAAGGAGTCAAAATACATCTTGTTGCATCTTGTCCTGTACTATAAGATGCAACATTACATGTGGCTGAGAAGTACCAAAGCTCCAAAAGTGCAGGTGACGACCAACCATAAAAAGTCACAGCTGTGCGCAAAGGCAAAGCAATAAATGCATAGCAACAATTTGAAAGATCACACGCAGAATAGAAAGCAGATCAAAACATGCCCCGTGTTTCTCACGCACAAATTACGCAAGAAACTTACTCACAGGTACGGATGCACGCGAATAAGCGTCTCATTTGTTACTTCACAGAGTGAAAAGCACGCGCTTTTCGCAAACGGAGACTGCAATGATTGCAGTGACCTTTGTACGCCCGGTAACTACAGCAGAAACATTCCACGTAAAGCCCGAGGCCAGCCAAGGCATATGCTTCTCCTCTCCTCAACCCCTTCTCTAAGCCGGGCAAAGTACGCGTAGGAGATTAGAGTGGGCGCCACTGCACGATGAGGCACCATGCGCTCATTTCGCCATCTTTCTTGTAATGCCGAAAACACAGCAGCAGTAAGTCGTAGGTATAAATAGCTTGCCGTTTGAATGGTGAAGAACGTTCTCCAGGGTGGCTCAGTGGTTAACGCCTCGGTTTTACGATGCAGAGGTCCCACGTTCGATTCCGCATGCAGGAGTGCTTTTTTCTAGATTTTTTTTCTTGTGTTTTTATATATGTAGATACGTATACAAATACAGTGCATGACGTCGACACCGGCGGCAAAATCAGGTCGAGAGTGTCCATATAATTGCTATCGCAATAAAAATAAGTATACTAGCAGTCTCTCACCTTGGCTGCCATATGGCGGATGATGCTGCTGGGAAGGAGGTGAGGGGCCCTGTTGCTGTGGCGTACCTGGGCCACTGGGTGGTGAGGAAACTGGTGGTGGTGAGGAATGCTGTTGCTGCTGCTGAGGTGGCTGTTGTGGCTGCTGCGCCTGGCTGGAATGCTGTGAAGGGTGTTGAGCTGGATGCGATGCTGGATGGGGCACTGGATGCTGAGAAGGGTGCTGGCCAAGATGCTGGCTTTGGGTCTGAGAGGTGTGTGGCTGGCCAGGGTGCTGTCCTGGGTGTGGCTGGCCAGGATGTGGCTGCTGCTGACCAGGGTGTTGGCTAGGATGTGGACCTGGATGTTGTCCTGGATGCTGACTGGGGTGTTGCCCAGGATGCGGGACAGGATGCTGACTGGGGTGCTGAACTGGATGTTGGCCAGGGTGTTGCCCAGGATGCTGCTGGCTTGGGTGCTGGCCAGGATGTTGGCCAGGATGCTGGCCAGCATGCTGTCCAGGATGTTGCTGACCAGGGTGCTGCTGCCCTGGATGCTGTCCCTGGTGCTGCCCACCATGCTGCGATGGATGCTGCTGAGCAGCCTGCATCTAACAGCAACAACACATTTTTTTTTTACGTCTTGGCAGACAGGGAACACTAATGGGGGTAGTTGCATCGTTCACAGCAACTGTTCAGAAAAAAGTGTAAGGGTGTTTTAAGAATTTTCAAGGCCCTAACAAAAATTTTTTAAGGACTTAATAACAACACTATTTGAGATACTAGAGAAAGACAGCATCATATTTTACAGCATGGATGCACACTTTTAACATTAAAAACGAAAGATTAAACTCTGCTCTATTCAATCTTTCTGAAGACAAACACCGTCAATGTCTGATTGACAGTGGCCGCTTAAGATTTTTTTATATGCTTTATCCCATCATATTATCACATTATGGTGAAGCTGCCTTTCAGACTCTTCTATGGTAGTAAATGCATTGATTCGAGAAAGCGGCGATTCCTACATGAAGATGCACTTTGCCATTACAGTGGCCCCTTCGTATTTTCAATATGCTTCGCTGTATCACAATCTGGTATGATGGTAAACTTTTGGGGCTCCGCTATAGCCATAAACAGACTGACTGACAAAAGTGCTGGTTGAAGCAACATGCCATAGGTGGGGGCTTTAATTAATGTTGTTACAAACTGAAATGTTCAAAGAAAATCAGATTAAGGTTTTCAGCATCAGAAATTTCAGACGTTCTTATACCTTCATGTCTACAAGACAGATTAGCAACTCCAAATTCGAAGGGAGCACATCTTTGTCCGCTAAATCAGTTGGGACTTCACAGAACTTGAAGAAGAGAGAAGAAAATAGTCTTTTCCTTTTACACATAATGTGTTGTTGACATCGCAATGATTGTACTAAATAGTGTAAACAAATACATCCTTAATATAACAACAAGGAAACACCACACCTTCAGTACTTCAATCTAGCCAAATAAAACACTTCTATGTTCCTATCTCATAAAAATGTGCTTAAGGATCAGATCCCCTGCAACTTTTTTTTTCTGTCATTTTACTTCGAAGTATATTCGAAATTTATTATATATCATTTCATTTGGTAGACATAACTTTGCTATTCGCCGAGCAATACTTAACATCTTTTTCTGCACACAAGCAAAAGCAGACACATTGTTTCGAATCAATAGTTAACCAAAACAATTGCAGTAACTCTGTGCAAAAAGCAAACTTTTTAGTGCAAATTGAATTTGAATAGGTTTGAGTGCAAAATCGAACAGAATATTTTTTGAGTATTTGTCAAATATTTTTCTGAAAGTTAGAAGTGAATTTGCAGAAAAAAATTTTAAGATTCCTAAGATAGTCTTTTGAAATAGCAACATGAAAGTTCCTTCAGCTAGGTTGGTCAAGCACTGGAGGGGTGGTGTTTTATAGCTGTCTTATCAAGAATGAGGCAATGCAGAAACTTAACTGATATGAGTTGGTGCGACCAAAGTGTTGTCACGAACAATTTTTTTTCTTTAATGCAAGTTTTATTTTACTATATTGTTTTCTGCAGGTATCAGCACATTTTTGTTGGTTTGCTTGCTGCTTCATTCACATTCTGAGAAAGTTTCAAAATGAATCAGTAAAAAACTGTATGAAGCACAACAATAAATCTTGTCAACTAATTAGAAATATACACATACATACTAGGTTAAACATTCACGAGCGAGCCATTGTCAAGCTGCAACTTTGCTTACGAATGCTTCATATTAGAACTTTGTTCCGTCGTACTGAATACAGTTTTGATTTTAGATTATTCTGATATGGTGATTTAATATGCAAAACTATGACTTTAGAAAAACACTTGCTCCCCAAAAGCCACAATGTTACACTTAAAAATTACACATTAAAACAAAAAATAGCTTATTTGAAATCAGAAGAGAAATATACATGAACTCAGTAATTTTCACACAAATCATTCAAAAAAAAGTATTTCAAAGTGCCTGTCCCCCTTTAAACCAGCAAACACTGCTTTCAAGCTCCTTTTGATACCATGCATCTATTCAATGTGGCTTCTCTTTGACTCGGGGTTCGTACAGGCTTCCAAAGCGAAAATTCAAGAATATTCAATAATTTTCGAGGACCTGTCACATATTTTTCAAGGACTTAAAGCAGCACGCATTGTTGAGAATATTTTACTCTTAATTTTTCAAAATTAATTCATTTTTGTAGCACTTATATAGTACATGCATACTGCAAGTATAACAAGCAAGTCTAGTCTGCACTTTAGCTAACTTTAGCTTCACTAGCTTCGCAGCTCGCACATCAGGAAAGGAGCCAGCACCGAAGGGCATTAAAAGTCTCTCACTTCGTTTGTTTATAGTTTAACGCAGTAATACCCTGTGAAGCTTTGGAAAACGAAACCATATCAACTCACACCAAATTACTGTTTCGGAAATGGAGAGTTAGTCAGGTCTATGCCGATCCATGCCTGCCAAGTTCAAGGATTCTGAATTTAGGAGATTTCCGCAACAGGAAAGGGGGAGGGTTGTCACGCAGATTTATTTTCCCCCTTTCTTTTTTTGCACCAAACGAAAAGCACCGCAAAAAGAGTGGGGGTGGGGGGGTCAGTAAACATCGGCGTTGCGCCCTCTCACGCAGACTGAGAGTGGCTGAACACCTGAGGGTAGCGTTTCCCAACAACAGTAAGAAGTGGGAGTCTACTAGTATCTCTCTAAATTTTCAACGTCACAACAACTACAGTAGACTTTCAGTAAACGAAAATCTGTTAAATGGAACTGCTGTTTTATTAACACAACTGCCTCTGATATGATTGGTTTCATACTTCAATTCTGCCACCCACTTCACCTCTCAGTAAACGGAGCTCCTGTTAAATAGAACACATTTTCTTGGTACCTTCAGGTTCCTTTAATGAGAGTCCACTGTACTAAAATCTATTTCTGTCAAAAGAACTCACGTATACCTTCCTGGGGCACACACGAACAGACGGGACGACGCAGCCGGTTGCCGGGAAAGCACAGTTCGAAGCTTCGCTTAAGGTCGATTGAAAACTTGTTGTCTAAAGGCCTGACGCCACGCATTGTGTATTGTATAACCTCTCCCCATGAAGAGAAAGGGTGTGTGGCTATGCGATGCTGCATTCTCTCTCTCCCTCTCTCCATATGGGAGACTGCTCCGCACTGCGTAAAAGATGCGCCGACGCGCTTTAACGGCTACGTAGGGTCAGGCCTTAAAGGGCCCGTAAACCACCCAGAGGTCGAAATTCAGTTGTTGTGGGGAAATTGTGCACGAGTGTACGACGAACACAGAGCCGTGAGAATTTTTTGAAACGGTGCAGTAATAGCAGAGCTAGGTGCGTTTTATTATAAAAACCATGACGAACACACCTTTCGCTCTCTCTTGCGCTTCCCTCGACTGGTATCCTCTCCCACACCGCTTTGCCCTCTCGCCGAGCGCCCCTCCTAATCTCGCGTGGCATACGTCATCGCTGACTTGAAACACCGTCAACTTCCGGTAGTCACGAATCCAACCGTCAACTCTATCAGTTGCGTGCTTGTTGGTGAACCGTGGCTGCCGTAATCGTGCCGGTATGGAACCTGCGTTGCGCACATGCCTTCGAAGGATTGCCAACGCGATGGACCCGCACGGAAACACACCGTGCCCTGCACGTGTTACACGCACCCAGGCAATACGATGAACAAGAACAAGCAGTGCGGACAGCTGCTTGCAGACTGACCAAAAAGTCGCAGGCTCTTGCTTTACAGCATATATGGCATTTTTGACTTGGCGTGCCAGAGATGTGGCACGGCGCGTCACTCGGAGGCCAAAGGTTCGGAAAAGAGAAGCGATTGTTTCTTCGAATTTGTATTTCCCTGGCGGCTCGTAGCGCTGCCACGTGCAGAATCGTTGATTGAGATGGCATTCTGCACACAATGCGCGCGTTTACTTGAAATGCTGGAAAAAAATATTGGAGGCGGTTTACGGGCCCTTTAAGTATAGCTGAAGTACCCAGATCGACCGGAACAATGTTACTTATTCTTTGGAAAGGAATGCCAAAACGCTTTTAGCATTCTTTTTACATATTACGCTGGCACTCCTGCGGTGCCAACGTATGGCACTGCACGAGTGCCACCAGCCGAAGATGCCAAAACAGTGAACAACACGGATACCACGGAACGTTTGGAAAAGCACTCTCCATATGATATGCAGTGCTAACTCAAAACCTAAAGATACAAAGGAAGATTTTTTTATTATTTTTAACGTAGTGGTGCTACCTGGTGTCATGCAAGACCGAAGAGCCCTTTCATCACAAAAGCATTAAAAAAAAGCCAGCACAGTTAGCTTCGTAGCACCCACGAGCAGCTGGATGATGTTAGAAGGGAGGGGGATGAGGGGGGCGAAGCACGAAGAACGTCGGCTCGAGGAACGCAAGCCCACCTGTCTGCCTCGCGCACAACCGCAAGCACGAAGGAACGCCCACTTCACGCTCCATTGTAAGTGAGGCAACCACTGAAGATGCATCTGGCTCCCGCTCATGACAAAATTACAAATTTGGAGCGCTATACCCAAATTGTTGGCGGCAAAGATTCTTTACATCAAGGGTGTCTGTCGCTGTTACTTTGTTATATTGATGTCTCAAATACACGTATTTCTATGCACTATGCAATGATAGCGAGGAATAGAACAACATCATACAGTAGAATCTCAACGGTACGAATTTCAAGTGAGCGGGCAAAATATTAGTTTCTTCCCGAATTCGTATGAAGCAAAAACAAGTTAAAGCTAATCATGAAGGCGAACAAAAACGTTATTAGGGTCAACTACTTTTTGCTGAAGGGAAGTGCATGATGTTTTTATGTACTTTCCTGCCTTCACCGCCTCTAAATAAAGTGCCGCGGCTTCTTCACTTGTGCTCTTGGCACTAAAAGCACATCCACACTTGGCATCAAAGGAAGGGAAAGTGGCATACCTTATTAGAAATTCGCTTGCTTCGCTGCTCAAACGGCCGGAAAATTTCGCCCCAATGTTGACACGAAAAAAGTCAATCACATGGGAGAATTTAGGCGAAAACGCCAGAGTGGTC